GAGTTCCAGCCTACCCTGAGTAATTTAGAAGTGTATCGAGTGTATCGACCTCATTGCAAAATGCAAAAGTTAAAAAAGTAGTACAGAAGTATCTTTGTGTGAAAGCCCTGAATTTAATAGCCACTACACACACACACACACACACACACACACACACACACACACCACACACACACACACACACACACACACACACACACACAGGCACACATGACCTCACAAACACACACATGCCCTGACACACACACACACACACACACACACACACACACACACATATACATGCACATACACACACAAATCATACAAATATATAAATAGTTTCTTCAAAATGAATTTTAAAAAAGTCTTGACAAATGTTGTCCTACTTGGAACTTTTCACAGATGCCTGAATCTAAGGCTTGTGATACTGGGTCTAGGGTGTTTGTTACTGGATTAGTCCATTAATTGGTTTGTTATAGTTCTGGGTGTGGATCATGTGAAGGCCTACCATAGGTCTGAGTGGCACCACCCAAAGGGCTTGTAGTTTGGATAAGATAAAAGGGAAAGAAAGGTTTGTTGTTGTTGCAGCTGCTGCTGCTGCAGCTGAATGCCTCCTCCCCGCTCAGCCGTGGACTCTTCCTTCTCTGCCTTGACCATACCACCCTGCCTATGAGCCCACCAACTATGGACTGAAAGCTCTAAAGGGTGAGATGAAACTTGTGAGTTTCAGGTGTTTCAACTTAGCAATGAAAAAATAACCAAGACACATAGTAACCTGCTTGTTTTTCTACATATCATACAAAAGACACGGATTGAACTGTTTTCCTATTTCCACCGAAATGTGAAGACATTTATCATTCACAGGCTGTTTGACTCACACAGAAGCCTAGAAAGGGAAACTGAACAGAATGCCAGCACAAGTGCCAAGGAAATGCCAATAAAAATATACTCCATAAAGGCATGATGAAGGCTCAGACTTGAAAAGTTTCATCACTTGCCTCAAACAGGTTTTGAGATTTGGAGGAAATAGGCAAAAATAAAGCAGAAGCTACATAGGAGAAAAAAGTCAAATAATGGCTGTTAAACAATGGCCAAATAGCTAAGGCCATAGGATTCAGAAACGGCAATAAACATCAAATCCTTGAAGGAAACGGCTGAATAAATCTAGGTCAGGAAATGCAACTCATTCTTGTAATGCAAAAGTTAAAAAAAAAAAGGGGTCATCATTTTAAAAGGGACAATATAAAAATTCTATGAAAATTCTTTAGTGACAGCAGAAAATTCAGACCCCATATTTTACCATGTCTTTTAAAATAACTAAATAATTGTTTCACTGAAAGAATATCAAACTAATTAAAATACAAGAACTCATGGAAACTAAATGCATAAAACAGAAAAAAAATAAAGAAATAGAATGAACATTGTAGTCTTGACCAAGTTAGAGCAGTTTGGAATCAGGAATAAATATACTTCTGGTCACTGGTCACTGGGGAGGGTAGAGAAATGCCAGTTGCCAAAAGATGCAGTGTACATAGCTCCAAACCCCACGAAGCCAATCCCAGCCCCTGACTTCCTTGAAATAAAGGAGAGGAGGTTTGACAGAACCTGGGAGAAAGATAAAGAAAGGAAATGATAGTGTATTCACTGGGCACCTGGGCCTCCAGGCTCCAGGAGACTGAGAAAATTCCTTATGATTGTACTTATAGTTTAGAACTGAGAAAGTTGGAGGCAAGTCCTCCTTTTCACCAACTCTTAATTTGTACCACTTAACAGACTGGTAAGTCTGTTAAAACCCATCATGTATGTACCCTTCCTCTTGATGGATAACAAAGCTAACTGACTAGCAGCCAACTGCAGTACTGCTCAGCTTCACGTCTCTGCCTGAAGGAATAGATTGAGCATAACTAAATGAAATGTTGCAATAAATGATTTCATTAGTCACTTAGTCAACAAAGCACATAGTTAATACATAAAATTCATATTTTCAGACCTAACCGCGATAAATGTATTTGAAATAACAGAGTATCATGAGGAATATTTGACAGGATTTATGGATGTATTAAATGTGGTGGGTGAGATAGAAGGAAGAATCTTTCATGATAAGAAAATTTAAGTTCAGTTTTAGCCTCGATGAGTTTGAGAAACCAATCTCTAGACATGCATTACTTTCATTTTGTCATGAATTAGTGCTATCATTAGAAATGGGACTCCCAATATACTATTGCCCAAATCTTCTTGGATTCCATTAGAATCATCTAGAAATTTCCATTTATGGATTCTAACTGAATTGCTCTAAAGTGAGGATTGAGCATTAATATATCCTAAAAACAACACAGGCAATTCTATTGTACAGTGCTACTGTGGTGAGAGGTTGAGCTGAACATGGAGCCTGTAACAAAAATGTAATAGGCAGCAATGTAGCAATATTTATAGCTCAAATAAATATTACAACATTTTTTATAAAATGCTATTCTCTGTCTCTGGCTCTCTCTACCTTTAGATTATGTTAAGCATATAAAAAATCTACCAGATGGAGATTTAATTGAATTCAATGAGCATGTGATGCACTTCAGAATTTTCTTTAATTCACCACAGTCATTTATTGTTTTATTCCTCATTTGTTAGAGTATAAAAAGAAAAATTCTAGTAGGAAAATTCATATTTGATTGTTAATATTGGTAGTTTGTGGGTTGCTAGCCTTTCAAACATAATAATATCAGATGATGGATACTAAATTATGGATCTGATAATGTAGAGGTGAAGTAGAAATTGTCTGTATGTATACGTGTGTATAACAGAAAGTACAAGTGAAACATTTTGTTGGTAGATATTAAACTATTCTAGCTGTAATATTTTTATTTTACCCTCAGAATGTAAATATTTAAAAGTAATATTTATTCATGAAATGACAGTGCAATTTATCCTTCCTCTGTATGTTGGGACATTATTTGAATATATATATATATATATATATATATATATATAACCATCAACATTAGAATCATAAGAAACCTATTTCACTAAAAATAGTAACCAGTTCTGTGTAGTTTTAATTAGAGTGATTTCTTCAGCAAGTGTTTATAAATGATGCAGTTTATAAATGTAATTTTTCAAATATTAGTGATAACATAACACATAAAAATATAAAGCTAATTACCTGGAGATAATTGTAACAGCTGAATTCAGTTGTCAGTGTGATTAGTATAGCAGCTGCCAAGGACTTTAAAAAGCACACTTCAGGATGTGTTTTGATAGATCTTGGGAGTATTATCTGTGACCTTGGGTACTATGTGTGGTCCTTACCTCTCTGGAATACTTTCCCTGTTTTTTCACTTGATCTTCACAAACTGAACAGTGGTGCCACACCTTTCCATTATGATATTCCTCTCTAGTGCTACCTAGACACAGACTCATCTGAAACCATGAGCCAAATTAAACCTCTCCTCCATCAATTCGAGAGTGTTCAGTATTATGTCCTATCAATGAAAAGCAGACTAACATGGAAAACTGGTGATGGATCTGTGGATTATTGGCTTCATGAGTAATGTGAGTATACCTGACTATATATTTTGAAAAGCTTTGGAACAGCTTTATGGGAGAAGTTTGGAAAGGGGTAGAGATGAGAGAAATCCTTGGAATGCTATAAACTGAGCCTGGTAACAAATTCTGTTTAGAGTTCAGAAGATCAGAATGCTGATCAAAATGCAGACATTAAAGACCAGACTTAGGAGGTTTCAGAAGGAAAATCTATTAGAAATTTGACTATAGTCTATACAAATTAAATTCTGGTAAAAGCTTGTCTACATTTTACCAATGTCTTGAGATTTTGCAGGAGTTTGAGTTTATGAGCTATTATCTAATTAATCTGGGAGAAGAAATTTCAAGGCAGTTCAATACTCAGGCTCTGGCATTGATACTGATAACGTTTTAAGCAGAATGATATTGAAAATCAGGAGCAAAAAGCATAGCAGAAACATTTGTAATACTTATATTTGAGCCTAAAATGAACCACATTAAAAAACTGGAAGTATAATCGTTTAATAGATTAATGTCATTAAAGGAAACCAAGTACTTTAATGTGTTACAAAATATATCCTGAGAGCTTATCAAAAATTAGTAAGATTCCACCCAACCCAAACTGAAAGGTTAAAAAAAAAAGTGTAAACCTATAATTAGAGAAGACAGTCCATGGGATCAGTCTCAAGAAGGGTCACATAGTGAATTGGTTCCCCATGATCCGTTTCACCAAATTGAATCATCCAGGCCCTTAGGTGCTTCTGAAGCCATGGTCTAAGGAAGGCTGGCTGCTGTTTGAACTAATCTGGATGTTAGCATTATCCATTTGATGCTGATTATTTAAACATACAGAATTCAAGAGTCATTCATGGGTTTTTGAAGATTTTTACTAAAATTTCAAAGGAAGATCTGACAAGCTAGAAAGCATACCCATGAGGAGTGGATGGATAAAGTTACAGGAATGCAAGCAAAGGTATAGTAGAGACCACATAGTGTCTGAGATGTCAGTAATGTGGAATGTTTGCCTAGGAAATCTATAGGTGGTGAGTGCAGCCAGTCTAAGTGAGAAGTTATCTGGCATGGCAATGGAGGCTGGCCTTACCATGCCCTTTTGGGACTTCAGCTGTGCCTCAGGTGCCAGTAATGGAGGTACAGAACTTTACACTTGTCCTGTTGGATTTTGATCTTAGGTTGGTCCAATTGTTCTGTATTTTACCATTTCTGCAGAGATTTCTGTCCAAATTTTATCTTCTGGGAAAGAGTAGAGCTGAAATTCAAAGTTTCATGTTATATACCTAGGCTATGAGTGTTTAAATACTATCTTATATTGCTTAAAATGATAGGATTCTACATTTTAAAATCTAATTTAAGGCAATCTTGAAAATATAAGTATAAAATAATTTGTAAACAAAATCCTCATTTCATAAGCAAATGAATTGTCTTAAAGAAGTTAAATAAAATCCTAAAGGATCCACAATTAGTATACAACACAGTCAGGTATAAGCTTTGTACAATGGCACTATCATAGCCAATGAGGTTTATCCAAGGAACAATTATTGCTAATTGAAAACTGTTTCCAATGCATCCATGTATTAAATCTAAATTTCTCTAATTTCAATGACCATATTTTAGCAGTGTTACCAATAAATAACCCAATTCACTGAAGAAAAATCAATCAAAAGAAATTATATCTGTTCTGGACATAATAGACAATGATTGTAAACATATTAAGAGCTTCTTTCTTATTTTTAAAAGCCATCTATATCTTTTTATTCTCTTTAAAAAAACGAAATAGTAACCATCACCACCACCATGAGAAACTGAATAAGCAACTTATAGCATATAGGGCTCCCACTTTCCTGCATTCTAAACTGGCAAACATCTCTAAGAGGTCAGTGATAAGACTCTGGGAACCCTGCGTGTTTGGATTGCACATGTATATTAAGAATACACTACTCATTGGCTCCATGCTGCAGTAATGATGCAGCCTTGTGGGAAACAGCAGAGCCAGCCTCAGGCAACACGGAGGTGGGAGGCCACCCTAATGCTTTATCATTAATGGCCCAGAAGATTTCATGTTATGGTGTCTTGGGTTTTAAATTAAATGTCAAATACAATTTGCTACTGAAATGTGAAGTGTGGAACTACCCTTAGAGACTGGGAACTCAATGCTATAATTGCTGGCTGCCTAATACTGAGTAAAATAGTTAAAGATCATTATGTGGTGAATTGTCACATGGACTGCAAAATGATGTGGGTTTTTTTACCTTTCGTGCTTCACATCTGTAGTAAAAGCTTGATACACTGTTTAAAATATGCAATATTCAATATAGTGTTAAATCCAGTGGAACTGATAAAGTCTTTCCTGGGATTATGCCAACATTTATATCCTGATTTTCCTGACATTTAGTCTGCAATATCAGGAAATCTACAAAAAGAAACTAAAGCAGCACATATTCCACTTACAGTGCTTTATTTTCTTGTTTTTTTTTTTCCTCCTGCTGACAAAGGACTATCTCAATAATAGGACTAATAATAGGATTTCCAATCCACTTTAATTGGGTAGCATTATATCTCTGTGAATTACCTGTGTATTGGTACTAATTATGAGATATGTTTAAGTCTAAAACTGCAGGTTTAAACACAAAGACATAATTTTTACTACTGGTTTTAATTAGAAACCTGAGGAAACACATACAATTAAATATGCCCATAAAAATAACAGATACATTCCTATAATACTAGTTAATTTGTTGCATCATTAATATCATTTGGCGTGGCAGTTTTAAAAACATATTGGAGTAATTCAAGTGGAAAATGGCTAAGAACAAAATTACTAGCATTTAAGCCACTATAGCTGTTTTGGAGAAGTGAGTGTTCCCCTAAGTAACTGAAACAATAGATGTTTTGCTTTGAAACCACATTTTAAAGTTAACTATTTGCCTATTTCATAGATCTTTGCTTCCAAGAACAGTTAATCTTTTCTACAAGTACAGTTTCAAAATACGATTAATTTAACTTCAGGAATTTATAGTTGCAAACATAAATTCTAAAGAAAATATTAACATGTCTAAGAGGACTCATTTACTTTAAGAAAATTACTACTTGAAATTTCTTCTACAAAGGTGTAAATCCAGGTCAAGTTAAAAAAAAAATTAATTAGGGGCACAGTCTCCAAGTGGAAAACCTTTCTGATAGGAAGTCAGAAGAAGACAGTCAGAAATCACTTTCCTATACTCTGAAGCCCCAGCCTTCTGTATATAATAAATACAAGTTTTTATATGACCTTTTCTCCAAAAAGCATGGTCACATGCATAAATTCATTTTTGTAAAAAATCTTGTGAGGTAGAGTACCATCATGACATTTTACAGATGAAAAATATCTCTCTGTGATTTAACCGGCATGCAATAATTACCATAAAAGAACATTCTTAGATAGGCTGGCTTTATTCATAGATAATTGGAACTTCATTACCAGATCTAGTCTAAAAATCAAAAATTCTTAAATGACAAGTTTGCAGTTAGGATGTATCACAGTGTTATATTTCATTTTAAAATGCTGCAAGTTAAAATGGAACCATTATTATGATACTATTCTTCACATAATTTTACTATTAAACATCACTTGGTAACATTAATATGGCAAACTTAGTTGTCTACAAAATTCCTTTTAAGTTAAAGACTAGATTTTAGAGACCGGACCTTTATTTCTTCTCCTGGGTATAAATCATAGCTGTGTCATACATTAATTTTAAGCAGTTGTTTGCTCGGCAAAATCCCATGTTCTTTCCATTAAATTACAAAGGTACTACATTCATTTCCACTTGAGGAAAGGAATCATGATGCATTTGAAAATCTTAATGGATGAAAATAATAATAATAAATTTCTCCAGTATATTTGTATCATTATTCTCACTCGTAGTATCCTAGCATCATTTATATCATTTTTCAACAATAACATCATTCTTTAAATCCATTAATTTTAATGATTTGTTCTAATATCCTCATTTTTGAAAAATATTTCAAATTTTAAATGAGTTTTGTTGTCTTACAAAAGTATTAAAGAATTATAACTAATCCTTACAAAAGGAGAATTTTCCTAGGTTACACATGCTTTTTTGTCCTGGCTCATTTGAGAAAATATGAACAAGGCTCCTAGGTATTGTCCTCTACATGCCTTGCCCTTGCCCGAAGTGGCCTATTTTGATGGATGCTGTGAAAAACAAATTACATACATAAGATGTCTAAAATTGTTCTCCATTGAGCAAATCTACAGGAGACAGCATTGCCCAGTGAAGTGTCTAATAACTAATGATGATTAAACCTAGGCTGTATTTTCAAAACTAAAAACAGAAAGAACAAAAATTACACACAGTATTTTTGGACATTTGAATTACTGTTCTTGTTTCTTTTCCTGAAAATATGAGCACAAATGTATCCAAACTGATAATTTATTTAATATCTAACTATTCCAGGCACTTGTTTTGGTTCCTGGCAAGCAGTTCAGACAAGAAATGACTAGTATGTATAAAAAGACGTTTGCTTTAGATCATGAGATAAATCCAAACTGCTAGCTGCTAGACTGTCCAAACATAGATTAAAATTTGAGTTAAACAAAGTGTTACAAAAGCACAGAAAAGTTAGTTTATTTGTTTATTTTGAGACTATATCTCACTATGTGGTTTAGGTTGGCCTTTCTTCATGTGATATGACATTTCTTAGATACTGGGAACTTACTATACAGGCTAACTTGGCCTAAAATTAGCAGTGATCCACCTGTGATCATCCAGAGTATTGGGAATACAGATGTTGTGCATCATCATGCCCAGCCCCAAAGTTTTGGATTATTGTGGAGCTCAAAGAGAACTCTTTTTGAGATGTGAGACTTGATGTTTATAAATGAAATAGACAAAAGAGAGTGGAGGGAAGTTTAGGAGTATAAACAAAGGAACATCCTAAGTTTTGAAAGAAGCAATATTCAGTGGCTACAAGCAACCTGAGCTTAGGGGTTGTGTCTGTCTTTCACCTAACAGAATTTTTGAACTGTAATGTATGTCCAAGTGTTCACTGAAGAATGAATAACGAGCTATGTTCTGCAGTTACTTAAAATAAGTATGAAAAAAGCAAACTACAAGTGTTTCAGAAGGATCTTGAAAAGTACATAAAACAATACAGAATTTATTCTGTAGCACAAGGAATATTAGCAAACCTATTTTCCAAAAAAAAAAAAACAATCTGTTTTGATTGTAAGCAAAAACAATGCCTATTTATATGCAACACTATGTCAAATTTTCTTTGCTTTATACTTTAACCGTTCATCACCTATTAGATCTTCTGAAGAGTCATGCCAATTCTATTCTAGGAATAACTTTGCCCCTCCATTGGTAAATTCAAGATTCCATATTTAAAATGAACTACTTACTAATTGAATTTTCTGGCATGTGCCACATGCTTGCCTATACCTTGCAATAGTGCAGAACTTCCATTATATTATATGTATTTTATTTTCATTTTGTTTGCTGTGAAATTCTTGTATGTCTTAAACGTTTCTTGACATACAACTCATATCTTGCTTTCATTTTTATCTTAACCTTGTGTATGATGGCCAGTCTGTTTTTGATGATTAAAGAACGTGCATTGAAGAAGTGTTTCATATTCTAGAAATAAGACTTTTTGAATCAATTTGATATGCATAGGGGAGTGAATGCCTGGAAAAGCGTAGAGGAGATTGAACACAGAGAGGAAAGACTTTGAACCAACACTGCAGCTCTGACACCTGCTACAAGAAAGGGGGGAAGAAGTAGAATGACACAGAAAGAGCCTCAGATCATCAGATGTGATGAAATCCAGGTCAAGGTTTCCCCAATTCAGCACTAATAATTTTTTTGAATTAAAAATTCTTTCTTAGTGAAAATTGTCACACAAATTTTATGATGTTTAGTAGCGTTTTGGCCCCTGATTACTAAATGCTGGCAGCATACACTCAGTTGTGACAATTATATTTTTAAAGTCTCCAAAAATTGTGAAATATCCCAGGGGAGACAAAAAAATCTCCTCTGACAAAACCAAAGGCTTAAACTGAGCCATTGTGTACCTATAGAGCAAGTGCCACTCAGACTCTTGCAATGGGCAGGAGGGGCAAATTGCTGGTACCACACTGTGCTTGGTTATCCGGTATGGCACATGACCCTGCGCGGTGACTGAGAAGGATCACAAAGAAACTAACTAGAGCCAGTTACGTAACTGATGCTGAACAGCAGCTCTTACTTGGACTGAAACTTAAAGCAGTTTATCTCCACAGCTGCCACATAAAGGCTATAGTTTTTCTTTCACCTTGTGCAGTGACAAGTCTGATATGTAATATTTAGCCACCCCTATTAATCATTTCCAAGACTTTTCATCTGGGCTTTTCTGTATGTACTAGGAACACAATTCTTTCTATCTGGAATCTCTCTCGTAAATTTAGCTGGCTTCCTTCCAATAGATTATTACAACTACAGTTTGATTCAAGTGAATTGGAATTTACAGCATTCAAAAAGTTAAAATGTGTAGTTCTTAGACATTGAAAATAAAATAAATTCTGTAAATGAAAAACAGTAAAAAAGTTAGCAAATATGGTTTCCATTTGTTTTATACAGCATATTTTAT